CTCAGTTTCTTGGATTAAGTAACGATGTGCGTCTACAGTTACTGCCAGAGTATAAAGTATGTTTCAATTGTCTTAATTCAGGACATTATGCAAATCACTGCAAAAAGCCAGGATGCAAAATATGCCACCGAATGCATAACACTCTCGTGCACGTCGCAGATTACCAGTCAAAACCAATTACAGATATTAATACATCTAACACGAGTAGTGGTAATAATAAGCCCGTTATGCAAGGTCATTTCGAACAAACAAACAGTTCGACAGGCTCACAGTTGTCATCCAATTCTAACGCACATCTGTCATTATCCGCAAAGGTAGGCACTGCATCGTGTAGTGAACAAGGCGACGTATTGTTATCGACGGCATTAATTAAAGTTATAGGTAAGAATGGTTGTCCATATATTGCTCGTGCTATTCTTGATAGTGGCAGTAACGCTTGTTTAATAACTGAAGAGTTATATCAAAGGCTAGGTTTGCCCGCTCAAAATGTAAATCAGTCGGTAGTCGGTATTAATAATGCTTCGGCACACATCAAGAAGATTTGTAAGGTATCGATAAAATCATTGAATGATAACTTCTCTAGTAATCTTCATTGTTTTGTCGTACCATCAATAACCCAAAATGTACCTACTAGATATGTTAATTTGTCAAACTTAAAAATTCCATCTAATATTTCTCTGGCAGATCCTAATTTTCACTCACCTGCTCCCGTTGACATGCTTATAGGTGCTGATGTCTTTTGGGACTTAATAGGAACGCAGAGATTAAAATTAGGGGACGGTCAGCCGATTCTTTGTGAAACTAGCTTAGGATGGTTAGTATCAGGTCCGATAGATTATAGATATGTAAAGAAAGGGGTTAACTTTATTAAATGTAATTTTACAAGAATATTTCAAGATGAGGCTAGTAAAGATTTAGATGAAGATATACAAAAACAATTAGTACGCTTCTGGCACCTCGAAGAGGTAAGCCCTGCGTCTCTTTATTCAAACGAAGAAAAATTATGCGAAGAACACTTTTTAAAAAACACCACGCGACTGGCAAATGGTCGATTTTGCGTGAGGATACCCTTAAAACATAATCCTGACGTATTAGGTGATTCTTGGCCACGAGCTAAAAAGTGTTTACTATCGCTAGAGCGCAGGTTAGCAGGTCAATCTCAGGTCTATGAAATGTATAAAGAATTTATGTCAGAGTATGAAAGTCTGGGTCATATGGAGAAATGTGAGAATGATAATTTACCACGTAAGATGCATTTTATACCACATCACGGTGTGCTTCGGGAAAGTAGTACTACTACTAAATTAAGAGTCGTTTTCAATGCTAGCAGTCCGACTTCTTCGGGTGTTTCCTTGAATAATATACAGATGGTAGGTCCCGTGGTACAGGACGACCTTTTGTCCATTCTTTTACGCTTTCGGCTACACAAATACGTTCTCACAGCTGATGTTGAGAAAATGTACCGGCAAATAGTCATTCATCCCGATGACCGCTATTTGCAACAAATTGTCTGGCGTGATAACCCTTCAGAACAGCTTCAAGCTTATCAACTTAACACCGTGACTTACGGCACCTCTAGTGCTCCCTTTTTGGCAACTAGGTGCCTCCAACAATTAGGCTTAGAGTGTACCGATGACAAGGTTGCTCAAGTGATCATTCACGATTTTTACGTTGATGACTTGCTAACGGGAGGGGATGATATTAACGAGGTTACAGATTTGCGCCGTAAAGTGACTTCCACACTTGCATCAGCTCATATGGTTTTGCGAAAGTGGAAGTCGAATGAATCTCAACTGGTTAGTGAAAATGATATTTCTCCGCTTGATTTGAATATTGGTGGCTTTGAACCGACTAAAACTTTAGGCCTTGGTTGGCAATCACATACTGACCAACTTTGTTTCCCTATAGGAGGGCTATTCTCAGGTAGAACAAAGCGTGATATGTTATCTGTGATTTCTCAGATTTTTGATCCACTAGGACTTCTATCTCCCTGTGTAATTAAGATGAAAATGCTTCTTCAACAGTTGTGGCTGCTCAAGCTGTCATGGGATGAGCAGTTGACGCCAGAAATCAGCAAGATGTGGGCTGAGATAATAGTCGATTTACCTAAATTAAATACTCTACGTATTCCACGTCGTGTTATTTGTGACTCGCCTAGTTGGTTTGAATTTCATATTTTCTCGGACGCTTCTGAGCGAGCATATGGCGCCTGTTTATATGTGCGTAGTGTTAATGATCAGGGTGAGGTTTTAATTCAATTATTGATGGCGAAAAGTCGTGTCGCGCCGCTTAAACCTATAACAATCCCAAGACTGGAACTTTGTGGTGCACTTGTTGGAGCTCGCCTTTACCAAAAGGTTGTAGCATCGCTGAGACAACAGGCTAGGCGCACTTTCTTTTGGACAGATTCGTCCATCGTGTTAGGATGGTTAAAGGTGTTACCTAGCAAGCTACAACCCTTTGTCAGAAATAGGGTTGCTGAAATATTAGAGAAGACTGGAAATTGCGAGTGGAGGCATGTCCCAACAGAGTGTAATCCGGCCGATCATATTTCTCGCGGTGTGAGTTGTAAGGATATTTCATCCATGAGTAAGTGGTGGTCAGGACCTGAATTTTTAAAGAAAGAGGTCTCTCACTGGCCTGCAAATTTCTTAAGTATTAATCACGAGTTGCCTGAGATTAAATCGTCAAATGTTATCCTCCACGGAATACTTCATTCTAGCAACAATGAAGATTTAGGTGGGAATAAATTAATTGAATTTAAACGCTTTTCTAAATATACTAGATTAAATCGGACCGTTGCTTATGTGCTGCGTTTTATTAATAATTGTAGAAAGCAATCCGTTCACGGTCCTCTAAGCAATCAAGAGTTGCAAACCGCACTCAATGTTATTATAAGAATATCCCAGAGTGAATCATTTGAGGAATACACCATGTTAATTAAAAATAAAAGTTTACCCACTAAAAGTCCGTTGCATAAATTTAATGTATTTCTCGATGATAATAAAATAATGCGTGTTGGAGGGCGTCTTGAAAATTCCGATTACTGTTATGAGAAAAAACATCCCATACTTATACAGTCCACTCATTATTTTACCAAATTGCTCTTCAATTATGAGCACATAAGGTTAATGCACGCGGGACCACAGCTAATGTTGGCCACTATAAGAGAGATGTACTGGCCGATTAGAGGTCGTAATTTGGCCAGATCTTGTTATCGACAATGTGTAAGATGTAATAGAATGAAAGGAAAAACCATCTCTCCAATAATGGGCAACCTACCACACCAACGCATCCTTTCTGGTTTTCCATTTCAAAATATTGGACTAGACTATGCGGGACCAATTCAATCTGTTTCTCGCCATGGCCGTGGTTGTAAAATTGTAAAGGTGTATATAGCTATTTTTATTTGCTTCGCGACTAAGTCAATTCATCTTGAATTAGTGGGTGATTTAACTAGCAATACCTTCATATTAGCTTTGCGCAGATTTATGTCTAGAAGAGGGAAACCTCTTAATATTTATTCGGATAATGGTACCTCCTTTGTAGGCGCATACAATGACATTTCAAAATTTATTAGGACGTATTGTAATTCTTTATCTGAGGTAATGGCAAATGAAGGAATTAATTTCCATTTCATACCGCCTTATTCTCCCCATTTTGCTGGGCTTGCGGAGGCTGGTGTCAAATGCATTAAATATCATTTAGTTAGAGTGCTGGGCAATTGTAATGTGACTTACGAGGAACTAAATACCACATTAATACAAATTGAGGCTATACTTAACTCCAGACCACTCACACCTTTGTCAACGAATCCTGAAGACTTGCTACCACTAACGCCCGGTCAGTTTTTGGTTGGACGCCCCTTGACTTCCTTGCCGACACCAGACTATAAAGATCATTCCGTAAGCTCTTTAACCCGATTTCAACGAATAGAACAATTACGTCAACATTTTTGGGCTAGATGGAGCAAGGAATATATATCAGAGCTTCAACTGCGGATGAAATGGCGTTCCTGTAAAGGCTCTTTGAAGTTAAATTCACTGGTACTCCTAAAAGAGGAGAATTCACCGCCATTAAAGTGGAAGATGGGTCGCATCGTCGCAGTCCATCCAGGCTCGGACGGCGTATCAAGGGTGGCGGATATCAAAACATCGACTGGTATAGTTCGCCGATCATTTAGCAAAATTTGTCCGCTTCCTGAACCTGAAGAATCTGGTTGAAAGGTAGACTTTCAACGCCGGGGGGCATGTTGAAGCGCCTGTCAAATTATATTAGCAGTTCTCATGCCAATATTAGTCCGTAAGCTGTGTAGGTATGTTTAAAAAATGTTGTACCTGTCGTCGTTGTAAAATTTAGAGATCAAGTAAAGGTCGATTGAGCAAATTACTGCATTTTACTATTAAAAAGAGATCAATTTCCTATTCAATAGTAATACCAAGAAAAACAGGGGTATCCATCAGACTCAACTCCTCCCCATTTAAGAGCACATTGGTATTCGAATGTTTTACATTAGGTATTGTAAATTTAATACATTTTAAGATAATTAATAGAATCAGGCGTTACTTTGCGGATGTTCATTACATTAAACCGCCCTCCCTCAATTGCGTGCACTATCGCCGTCACCACTAATCCCAGCACCACTACTTCCAACACCTAGTAAAGACACACCACTGACGACAATACGACACGTGTTTCGCCTCTACACGAGGCATCTTCAGGTGATGTAGACTCTGCGGTGGCTGACCGCGAAGATTTGCTCTTCAAACTAGGTAAGACACATCATTTTATTTTATCGCGCGGATGTACGCGAAGTAATTTTTTGTCAACTTTAATACATTTTGTCTTATTGCCGTTCAAGAGCAAATTGTAGGCGTTAAGCTAATGTACTAATTAAATGTGAATGAAGGAAATGCTCATACTGTATTCTAAATCCTATAGATGTTTGTCTCTTTTTCACAATGTTTCTAAAAAAGATTTTACTTAAAAAAGAAGCTTACCCTCCCCGTGTATAATTTGACATAGCTGATGGTACAAGACGCGGCCATCTTGCGCACGGAAATAGTCAGCGAGCTGCGAGATTTCCTCGTCAGTCAGCCCGATCACCGACCGCAGTGGACCAGCTAGCACCGATATGAACTTCGATTCTGAATGCACAATTAAAAATGATTTTATATATCTAATAATGACTGATGAAGGAATCTGTCTGGGAAGGTGTCACCCTCTTACTTATTTCTGCCGTTAAACAGAAGCCTGTAGGATAGAGAGAGCCAGTGTAATTACACACCGTGTGGCAGTCCATTTTAGTCCTCAGAGGTGACAACGTGTCTGTAACTTTGTCATTCGTGGTATAGCCATACTGCACCTATATTATGGTTGTAGCACAAATGGGTTGGCTCGACCGAGGTAGGACCACGCTCTCACAGAATATCAGCGTAAAATAGCAGCTCAATGCTGCTGTGTTTCGTATGGTGAGTGTAGAGAACCGGATACCCTTTTTACTGGAAAAGATGCATTACATCTTAGTCCTTAGGGGTGACAACGTTTCTGCATTTTGATTATTTATATGTAAGATGTATGTTGGCCACAGTATTCACTTACCATCAGGTAGACTGTGTGCTCGTTTGTCACCATTATTCTATATAAAGAACATATATTTGGTTTGAGCTTGGCAACTATAATTCTTACTCTGGAAAAGAGGCATTCCGTCTTAGTCCTCACGGCTGACAACGTATCTGCATTTTGATTCGCAAACCAGGATAGATGTAGATGTCTATGGGCCACAGCAACCACTTACCATTAGGTGGACTGTGTGCTCGTTTGTCACCCTATCCTATAAAAAAAGTATAATTCCTGAGTAGCTATTATATAGCATTCAGCTGTATACATTCATTTTTAAATACTTGTTTGCTAATTTGAAGCACTAGTAATGTGTATAGCATTGTTAGTTTTCTACTTTAACAGTACACAAACAAAATGGCGAAATGTGATTTTCACATTTTTATTCTATATATTTTGTTACTATTACACAGATAAAATTCACTCTCACAGATGACAAATTTCAAATAGCTCCATCTCTAATTTCTTACTGTACTATTAACAGCTGTCTTCAGCGTTGTACACGTTTCAACGGAATAATGTCGTTTGGTGACTATAGTCACCATGGACAGGTGAGGCAATATTTTTTTTGGGGACTGTAGTCACCATGAACGGTTGAATAGTTAGATTACCTACAAATAGAAGGCCTACACCTCTTAGTTTGAAAGATGAAAATAGTGATTGGAAAACCTTCACATTGCTATGAATTAAGTTGAGCTTCCCAGCAGTATGAATTAAAATGTTTACCAGATATGAGGCAGTTGCCGCTGGGGTCTAGCGGCCGGTACCAGTCCCACAGGTTGAGCCCCACGCGGAACGCCGCCGCCCGGATCTTGTTACACGTTTTCCACACATTAGCCAGCCGGAGAATCTACAACGATTTGTTATGATAAGCACCTACATGAATCCGATGAATTAGAAAGCAATACTTAATACACAAGCGTTTCGTAAAAATAACGCAATATTTGGCACTGCTGACGCGGGCGTTATTTTCATTGTGTACTACTATAGGCCTTTTTTTATAGAAAATAAGGGGGTCAAACGAGCACATAGTCTACCTGATGGTAAATGGATGCTATGGCCCATAGACATCTACATTTATCTACAATTAAGATGCAGATGCGTTATCACCCTTGAGGACTAAGATGGAACGCCACTTTTCCAGTAAAAAGAGTTTCTGGTTCTCTACACTCACTTTCTCTACTGCACACTCACGCAATACGACAGCATCCTCAGGTGAAAACTTTACCGTTAAACCTTACTTCTCCCGTATTATCGACGGTGGTGTGTCTTTCCTAGTGTAGAGCTGATGGGAGTAGTGGTGTTGCGATTAGTGGTGACGGGCATAGTGCACGGAATTGAGTGAGAGCGGGAGGTGCTCTTCAAACTAGGTAAGAAGAATCACGCGGATCCTAGTTAATATTTTTTTTAGATCTTTCATATTATAATGGATTTCCGCAAAGTAATTTTCTGCTCACCAGATGTCGTCAGTTGACACTGGGGTAAAGTTTTTTGTTACACAATGTCATTTAATTGAGAAGTTAGTTTTAAATACTCGTAAAAGTTTATCAGCTTCTAGAGTATCATATTAATACACAAAACAATACCTCATCGATAGTTTGCTCTTTAATTTTTTTGCACATTTTAAACTTTTTTTTAATTTTTCTACTTTTATGAATGTTTGTGGTTTGGTTTATTTATTTTTAACCTTATTAATCTATACTAATATAATAAAGCGGAAGAGTTTTTTTTTGTTTTTTTGGTTGTTTAAACGCGTTAATCTCTGGAACTACCAGTCCGATTTGAAAAATTCTTTTTGTATATTATAGCCTGATTCATGTGGAATAGTATAGGCTATCTAGCATTAAGCTATATTACTCAGCTAGCCTTAAATATGGATATTTGTTAAGCAAGTCAGAAGAAAAAGCACTCCCGAAATGATTTATCCGCGTACGCTTGTGTTATCTTTAGGGATACGTAAATACAATGTTCTAGAAAAACATACCTTTACTCCGTCTAAAAAAAATTCCGCGACACCATATGTCTATTTCTTATACATAAGCCATAATTTGGTATTTTGTGACAAAAAGTATTGAAAATTCAAAAGTGATTTATGAGCGTTATTATTAGGCATGTCCTATTTATCCATACGAACGAAAGTTACTTCATCATCAAGATAATTTTATGAAGATAAACTTTGTTCTTTATACCATGTTATTTGGACGCATAGTTTAAGAGATAATGTAAAATTACAATAATTCAATACTTGACTGGGCGCGCGAACGACGTTTAAACATTAGCCATAAAATGCTTGAACTAGGTCATGTCGCGCACCTCGGACACGTGATGACGCGGGTGAAACCGCGGGGCACAGCTAGTACAAAATATAGTTAATAGTATAGAAAGAAACATTAACCTTTATATTTTTCGCACAAATTAACTTCCCCGCTATGACATCTGTCAAATATTATATTACTCACTTTTAAGTGGCGCCGCCCTGGTGGCAGAAAAAGTCGTGGATGCCCTCATAATCACAGAATTATTATCATCTTAATCATTCTCTAAAAGTCCACTGCTGGATTTAGACCTCTCCGGTTGTAAGGACGATTTGCATCAATGAGTGTATCCACGACTTTTGCTGCCCCCACGGCGGCGCCACTAAATAATCTGGTGTAATATTTGAAAGATTTCACAGCTGGGAAGTTAATTTGTTTGAAAAATGTAAAGGTTAATGTTCCTGTATGTACAAATTAGTTATATTTTATATTAATTAGATTAAAACTACATAAATCAGGCCAAAGATTTTCATAAGCTTAGAAAAGTAAAAAAAAACAACAGAGTTAAAAATGTGCAAAAAATTTAAGAGCAAGCACTGAGGCATTGTTTTGTGTATTAAATATAATACTCTAGAAACTGATAAACTTTTATTTAAAACTAACTTGTTAATTAAATTACTGTTTGGTTTATTATGTAACAGAAAACTTCACCTCAGTCCCAATGTGCGACATCTGGTGAGTGGAAGACTATTAGGCCTCTTTGTCACGTCGCCGGTCTGGGCATTTTACGTCTGGCGTCAACGGGACGGAGAACATAGGCCTCCCACATAGATTGCGACAAAGTACGGTCCTCAGCCAGCTGAATCCATCGACTACATGCGTACTTTATCAGATTAGTCGCATTGATCATCGGTTCTTCGAATTAAATGGCCAGCTGCTTATCCAGATTATTGACACGTTGGCTATGTCAGTTGTTTTTGTTTGAAGGCCTCGTTGGTCTAGTGTTCGTAAACGGTGGTCGACCTGGGTTTGAATCCCGGGTCGGGCCAAAATCAGTTACTTACTTATTGGATTTTCTGTCAAAAAATTATCAGTAGCAGCTCGGAGTCAAGTAGTTGTCAGATAGCGCGTAAAGCCGATGGTCCTGCGCCTCATCTCTCCCATGGTGTCGAATAAACGTTCCATTGTACTATGAGAGTGAGGGAATAGAATGTATTTACCGGTGCTTGCGCGTATACTCTGACACTACGATTCTGTTCTCCACAGATGGTCAGTCTCTGTTGAGATTGCCCGCCGCGACCGAAACTCGGTCTAGAGGTTTATTTTTTTTTATTCATCTGCACTCTGCGGACATTCTCATTATGGATTTTATCCCGTAGGGAAATTTCGAGCATAGCTCTTTCCATCGTACGATGGGTAACTGAGCAAGCTTTTGTCAATACAATGCGCTTCACCATTTTCGGCTGCATCATCATATACCATCAGGTGGGATTGTAGTCAAGCGCTAACTTAGAATAGTAAAGTTTAAACGCACTATAATCCGTAAAGTTAGTTTTATTCAAAATTATGCTTATTATTTTACTTATAATCCGTTGTACAACTTTGTTATAAGTATAATAATACCTAAAGTATTTGATACATATTGAAAATGAGATCTCAAACCTTGTCATGCATTTTTACTTTTACGCGACCTTGACACTAATAATTAATTTTTATCAATATTTTCGCAAATTCATGATAATAGCAGATGTATAAGTTTAAGTTTAAGGAGATTTCTTCGCGCGAAATTTTGATAAAATATTGAAAATAATGATTAACGTGTCACTACTCAAAAGAGCTGACAGCTGACAGTTCAATCAAGATGGCCGCCGAACTCTGATAAATTTGAAAATAGATTTTATTTACTTTAGTTTTTCTATGGTTACAGACTCGTACATATACGATTAGTACTTTTATCTGTCATTTCATAGCGGGGCAAGGTAATTTGTTAGAAAAGTGTAGAGATTAATGTTTCTGTCCAAAATATTAGTTACATTTTATATTAATAATAATAATAAAATAATTATACATTAATTAGGTTAGAAATGGATACATAAACGAAACTACGGATATTATTTAAAGTAAAAGAATTAAAAAAAGCGTTAAAATTAGTTAAATATTGAAGAATGCAGCACTGAACCTTAGATTATTTACTCTCTAGATAACGCGTCACGCAATGAGCGATGCAACAAAAACAGGCCAGTTTTTACAGGCGTGAGTGCGTGAGGTACGCACACACGGTTAGCGGTTGCTAAGGTGACAGAATAAATAACTATAACTTACACCAGGCCTCTGTCCATCTTGCTACCTGCGTGAAATAATTACCTACAATCGCGAGTTGCCCCAGGGGTAGATTGCAGTCGGGGCTAGCGCGCTCTATATACGATTAAATGTTAAAGTTTTTTTTTAACGCTGTTTACGTATATATTTTTTTGTAAATACTTTTTACGTCTACCACGTTACGCCATGCTGCAGCTATATTAGTAGTATAGTTGTAGTACGAATGGGTCGGCTCGCCCGGGGAAGGACCACGCTCTCACAGAAAACCAGCGTAAAATAGAAGCTTAACGCTGCTGTGTTTCTTATGGTAAGTCTAGAGAACCGGAGACCCTTTTTACTGGCAAACAGGCATTCCATCTTAGTCCTCACGGGTGACAACGCATCTGCATCTTGAGTCTTTATTGAGGATAGATATAGATGTCTATGGGCTACAGCAACCACTTACCATCAGGTGGACTGTGTGCTCGTTTGTCACCCTATACTATAAAAAAAAAGGAATACTCGTCGAAATAGTTTTTGTTTAGTGTTTAGTATATTTGATTGTAGTATAAAATAGTTGAAAAAGTTTTAATGTAATTTAAGAATAATATAAATGTTTATTACCTATCTATTTGATAAATTATAATGGCAAAACGTCGTTCCTACTATAATTGTTGCGGGTATGGATGCTTACTGAGCAATTAAAAGGATTCAGATATATTTTTTGAGTTACCGAAGGATAATGAAAGGTAAATTTAAGTTCACCAGTCTCGAACATATGCGCAAAGTAGCCAGCCTTTGGTTTTTTTTACAGGATACATTTCAATTCAATTTCTCTCTCTCCCTACCACCATCTTATAACCAAACGCTTGGCCAATCTCCACCCTTTTATTGTCGACTTACCACGCATTCGAATTCGAACCAAACGATTAGCTTCACCGTTCATCATGCGTACAGCAAAGGAGTGAAAAGATAGATGTTTGTAGATTTTATTACGAATTTAAGGATTTTTTATATGAAGGATCGTCGAAAAGGACAGAACGTCTGCTGGCCAACTAGTATATATATATAAAATAGATGATATACATACAGGATATATATACATAAACATACATAATTTGACCTGCTCAAAATTCAAAAACTTTATTAAAGTAAGTTTATATAAAAATGGTTATTACGAGTATAATATTAAGGAATTTATGGATTATAATAACCTCTGGGAATGAGGTGATCACCGCCAAGCTATTTCTAATTTGTTTTGTATTACTTAATAAGTTAGATAAAAGCG